ACACAGCATGTGGGCTGCGTACAAATTCGCCTACATTCAGCCGTCAAGGGTTCTTGTTAGGACAGTTAATTTATTTGATGACCACTGCTGCTTTTAATGTGAGGCTCAATGAGTATAATTTTTGTAAAGTAATTAATTTAGCATCAATAATTAAATTGATTTAGCATGAATAATAATTATTCATGATAAATAATAATAATTTAATAATAATAATAATAAATTCATATTTTTTTTATAAATATTACATACATATTAAATCACATTTTGCTCATATAATGAATATAATTATATACAATAAATTACTTAAAATGGCTGATTTCCACATTGTGAATCTCAGTTTATGTATAACAAGTAAATAATTACAGGTTATTAATTAAATATGTAATTTAAATAAGTTAATAATTGATTGAATTTGAATCATTTGTATAATTGTATGATTTGCATTTGTTTGATTTTAAATATATCAAAATTATTTTTGATTGCAAATTATTTTAAAATATTTTTGATGAATATGAATATTGTTATTTTTAAACAATTGCAATGTAAATAAAGGGAAACATTTATTTAAAATATTTTAATTAGGATTATTATTATTTTACATACACAGATTCACCATTTTGGAAAAGGTTATAGTCATTTATAAAGCTCTGGGACTGCTGCAAACCACATTGAGAGCCACTGAGAGTCATTATCTACAAGCAACAAAAACATGGAACAGTGAAGAACCTTCCTAGGAGTGGCTGGATGACCAAAATTACCCTAAAAAAACATGAAAAATTCATCCCAGAGGTCACAAAAGACCTCAAATAACATCCAAGGACCTGCAGGCCTCACTTGCCTTAGTGAAGGTGAGTGTTCATGACTCCACCATAAGATAGAGACTGGGTAAAAGTGGTTAGCATGGCAGATATACAGGACGAAAATCAATCAATCAGTCAATATATCTATCTACCTATCTATCTATCTATCTATCTATCTATCTATCTATCTGTCTGTCTGTCCGTCCGTCCGTCCGTCCGTCCGTCCGTCCGTCCGTCCGTCCGTCCGTCCGTCCGTCCGTCCGTCCGTCTGTCTATCTGACATCTTGCGAGTTTTGGGAAAATACTTTGTGGACTGATGAGACAAAGGTTTAACTTTCTGGAAAGACTTTGGAGTGGCCTAGTCAAAGTTCTGACCTGAATCCAAATGAGATGCTGTGGCATGACTTTAAAAAGGTCTCTAATGTGGCTGATTACAACAAATCTACAAAGTTAAGTGCGCCAAACTTCCTTCACAGTGCCGTAAAAGACCCAAAAATGCTTGATTGCAGTTGTTGCTGCCAAGGGTGGCCCTTAGGGGCAAACACTTCACTTCACTTCACTTCACTTCACACAGGGCTATGTAGTTTTGTATTTGTTTTCCCTTAATAATAAAAATGTTTGTTTTAAAAATGCATGATGTGTTCACCTGTGTTTTCTTTGACTTTGACTAATATTTAAATTTGTTTGACGATCTGAAATATCGTCAAACAAATATAAATAAATAAAATATATCTAAATTAAACGTAATAAGTCATTTTCATCCAGTAATTTTCCTTTAGCTTAGTCTCTATATTAGGGGTTGCCCCAGCAGAATGAACCACCAACTTTTCCAGCATATGTTTTACTCAGCGGATGCCCTTCCAGGAACAACCCAGCACTGGGAAACACCCATGGAGAACACGCAAACTCCACACAGAAATGCTAACTGACAAAGCCAGGACTCGAACCAGCGACCTTCTTGCTGTGAGGGGACAGTGCTAACTACTGAGACACAGTTTTTTTTTTAAATGTGAGTTTCAGTCTGTCAGTTTTAAAAATATTAGCTGGATTCAGAGACTTAAACAGGTCTGTTTATTGGAAAAAAAATGACTGCATGTCTACAAATAAATACTTATATTTTTCTGAAGAGGTGGAAAAGTATTACAACACATTTAGATACGTATATTTGGAGTTTACTTAACCTTTCACCAATGTAATCTGAGGCAACTACAATTCAACACAAAGTAACTTGATGTACAAATGTATCCGCTAAAAATATTCACGATGGCAGTACTTGTTCATTCATTCATTCATTTTCTTTTCGGCTTAGTCTCTTTATTAATCTGCGCTCACCACAGCGGAATGAACTGCCAACTATCTAGCATATGTTTTACGCAACGGATGCCCTTCCAGCCGCAACCCATCACTAGGAAACATCCATTCACACTCATTCACACTTATACACTACGGACAATTTAGCCTACCCAATTCACCTGTAGTGCATATTTTTAGACTGTACAGGAGACCCCGGAGGAAACCCATGCGAACATGGGGAGAACTTGCAAACTCCACACAGAAACGCCAACTGACCCAGCTGGGGCACGAACCAGCAACCTTCTTGCAGTGAGGCGATTGTGCTACCCACTGCGCAACTGTGCTAGTATTGTATTTTATTTCTGTTATTTTCTTTGTAGGGTGTAGGTAGTTTTATTGTGGGTGTTTAGGTAGAGTGGGCTTTTTGTTTGTTATTTTTAGTGGATCCTCTCCAAGGTAATAGACTTCACTTTTTGGGTGATAAATAAAGAAAAAAGTTTTTAAAAAAAGACCAAAAAAAAAACTGACCCGACTTTGCGATTCAAAAAAGTGAACTTTATTTGTCACGTGTTTTATTTATGTTACGTCCTTGACCCAGACCAGGGTTGTAACACTCTCCATTTAAATATAGATAACTGAACTAGAGGTTTTGGACAGACTATTGTGTATAGTTCTTTTTTTAAATGTCTTTTTTTTTTTTTTTAGGAAAAGTTTTGTTGAATAAAAAGTATTCAGCTATATTCACCTTGTTTTAACATAGGATTTAAAATTTTAAGCTAGGATTTACTTATTTATTTTTGGTGTGGTAAATCCTTAGTGTTGAGCCCTGAAAAGCCTAGTGAAACAAAAACTAATCGCAATGCAGTGCTTTGAAACCACAAACTATTTGCTCTTGCTCATTGAGCAAGGTCATACACAACATACAAAAAGACACAAAATCTATATCAAGTAATTTTAGCATGCCAAAGTCAACCTTTATGCATAACTCATTTACCCAACAACAAAATTGTGGCTAGTGAGAATGGCGAGTGGCTAGTAACATTGGAAAACTACTATCCACAGTGGCTGGTGATCAAAAAAGATAATGTCAAGCCCTGCCTGTAGGTTACAAACAACCCTAAAGCAGGGGGGGACTGGCCATCTGGCAGAAGGGCCGGACCATTTTTTAAATGTGGGCCGGTCAGCTATTTTATTATTTATTTTTTTATATGTATTGTTTTTACCTGTAGGCAGCTTTTGATGATGGTAGTAGTAAGAATAATAATAATAAATGTTAAGCATTGGCCGAACCGGCAACGACCGGCTGGTTTCGAGATGGACCATCCTAATCAGAGGTTACACGGAATTTTATCAAAATCTGGCAAGAATGTCAAACAAACAGTAAGTGCAACACAAGCCAATTGTCAGAGATGGACCATAAAAAAGGAAAGGCAGTGCCGAAACGCTCAAAGAAAGCAAAAAAAAAAGGCTCTAAAATCAGATGCTGCCAAATGCATAAAATGAACTGAACTATTCTCGAAAGGGGGAAGCGCAGTGGGTAGCGCTGTCACCTCACCTCATAGGTGTGTATAGGGGTTTCCCAGTGATGGGTTGCAGCTTGGAGGGCATCCGCTGTGTAAAACATGTACTAAATAAGTTAGCGGTTCATTTTGCTTTGGCGATCCCAGGTTAAAAAAGAGACAAAGCCGAAACGAAAATGAATGATTTCATATATAAATTTGTTATAAATGGGTTGTTTTTGTTCCAGTCACATACAGTAAATGTTTAAATATCTAATACATATGGTACTGCTTATATTATTTTACTATCTGTACACCAATATAAGTAGTGAATGTGTGTGTCCATGGATGGGGCTGTGTCAGTGTAGTAATGTGGGCTGGTGTCAGGGCCGGAGTGGGACTCTTTTTCAGCCCTGGAGTTTCAAGCCTCAGACCGGCCCACCTCAGTTCACCACTGACTATATTAAAATAAGGTTATTTCCAATTCAGTTTCTAATTACACTATCACGTCTTTTTTTGAGAAAACAGCACTTTTAGAACTTGAAATGTTCAACAACCCCTACAGTATTATGTCTTAACAATAAAAATGAAAAAAAAAAAATTAATTCTCAGACAAGGACCGAACCCAGGTTGGCCGCGTCATAATCTAACGTACTAACCACTGTACCACAACAGCTGTACGCATAACGGTGACTAATCTAGTTATATCAACATTAACCTGCACCCTGCTCACGACGCTACGAGAAAATAGATAAAAAAGAGCAGAGCTGTGGTAAAATAATGAATAAGAAGGCTGTGGTTAAGTAAATAAATAAATTATTTTTAAAAAGTGTGATGACTGCTGAGAGCAACCGATTCTGGAACTAGGGACACCGGCCCTCGCGGCCAAAAAACGGACCGGCCCACCGGGAATATTTCTGGTCCTCCCTATTAGCCAATCCGGGCCTGGCTGGTGTGGCTACAGTGATTTAAAAGTGCCAGTCCGCCCCTGCCCTAAAGGACTCAATAAATTTGATCAGCTGTGTTTAAGGTTGGACCAAAACTGTACAGAGCTGCGGCCCTCCGGGAACTGAGTTACTAAACTAAACGATAATGTTTTTGAAAGGGGAGGGGCTACTGTATGCCCCGCCCTCTCTTCGTTTGTTAAACTCGAAAACAATACATCTTTAAAGCAATTACAACATAAAGTGATTTTTTGTATCAATATCATTTCCTATATCTATATAGGATGCAGAACCCTTCATGAAGTGCAGCATGCAGTGCTCCTGCAATCAGTACACTAGTGTTAATCATGTCAATCAGAGCGTGTTCAGTGACGCAGTGTCGAGTATCTGATCATCTTCATCATCAGTCGGTTGTCAGTGTGTTATTCAGAGGTTTCCTTCAGTGTCTCTCAGCAGTTACTTACATTGCTGGAGTTTTCTGCTCCTCCTTCATGTCTGCATGTCAATGTTTTCTGCTTTTCGGTGTTCATGTTCAGCGTGCTGTGAATTCCTCGCTGAATGAATGAATGAATGGCTCTCTGTCTGTCAGCAGTTCAGCTTTACTCCGTGATCCGGTCCGGATCAAAAGCGTCAGAACCACGTCATTACGGTTGAGCCATTTTTAGGGTCCTTAAAGAGACAAATTAAAATTGATATACAATATACAGTGTGCAGGAGTTTGAGATAGTGTGCGTGTGCAGTTATAGCTAAATAATATTGACTTGTTTTAATGCTGTGAATGTGAAATTAGTTTTTGAATAGACATTTTTACATTATGAAATCCACAAAGGGGGTTTTAAATGTGTAATATATTGCACAATTCAGTGTGTTATTTCTTTGCAAATATCTTCAAAATAAAGTAAACATTACTTTAAAGAAACTCAGCTATAATGACACTACAATTTATATACACTCGCCGCACACTTTATTAGGTATACTTGTCCAACTGCTCGTTAAGGCAAATTTCTAATCAGCCAATCACATGGCAGCAACTCAATGCATTTAGGCATGGTCAAGACGATCTGCAGTTCAAACCGAGCATCAGAATGGGGAAAAAATGTGATTTAAGGGACTTTGAATGTGGCATCACTGCTAAAAAATCCAGCTTAAACCAGCCTAGGCTGGTTGGCTGGTTTTAACTGGTCAACCAGGCTGGTTTTAGAGGGGTTTTGGCCACTTCCAGGCTGATTTCCAGCCTGGTCTTAGCTGGTCAGGCTGGAAAATGACCAGCTAAATCCAGCTAAAACCAGCTTGACCAGCCTGGTTTAAGCTGGACATAGCTGGTTTTGGCTGGGCTCCCAGCCTGGCTAGGCTGGTCAAGCTGGTTTTAGCTGCTCATCTCCCAGCCTAACCAGCTAAGACCAGGCTGGAAATGGCTGGAAACCAGCCTGGAAGTGGCCAAAACCCCTCTAAAACCAGCCTGGTCGACCAGCTAAAACCAGCCAGCCAGCCTAGGCTGGTTTAAGCTGGATTTTTCAGCAGGGATAGTTGTTGGTGCCAGACAGGCTGGTCTGGGTATTTCAGAAACTGCTGATCCACAGTGATTTTCACGCACAACCATCTTTAGGGTTTACAGAGAATGGTCTGAAAAAAGAGAAATATCCAGTGAGCGGCAGTTCTGTGGGCAATGCAACATTCGGATGGTCAGGTCAGAATTTGGCGTCAACAACATGAAAGATCTGAGTATCATCAGTTCAGGCTGGTGGTGGTGGTGTAATGGTGTGACTGGTGTTTTCTTGGCACTCTTTGGGCCCATTAGTACCAACTGAGCATCGTGTCAACGTCACAGTCTACCTACGTTTTGTTGCTTACCATGTCCATCCCTGTATGACCACAGTTTACCCATCTTCTGATGGCTACTTCCAGCAGGATAATGCGCCATGTCATAAAGCGTGAATCATCTCAGACTGGTTTCTTGAACATGACAATGAGTTCACTGTACACAAATGGCCTCCACAGTCACCAAATCTCAATCCAATAGAGCACCTTTGGGATGTGGTGGAATCGGAGATTTACATCATGGATGTGCAGCCGACAAATCTGAGGCATCTTCCTCATGCCAGTATGGACCAAAATCACTGAGGAATATTTCCAGTATCTTGTTGAATGCCACAAAAGACTAAGGCAGTTCTGAAGGCAAAAGTGGGTCCAAAACGGTACTAGTAAGATGTACCTAATAAAGTGGCCGGTGAGTGTATGCTTATATATATATATATATATATATATATATATATATATATATATATATATATATATATATATATATATATATATATATATACATTTATATATTTATTTATTTATTTATTTATTTATATTGACACTACATTTTATAATGTAAAAATAGAAATCAAAAGAAGTCAAAAATAAATAAATAAATAAATTCAAAATTGTTTTATTTTTTGTTTGTTTGTTTATTGTAAGAGTAACGTATAAATTCTTGAAAAAATTAGTCTCTCTTATGTGAAGTTTTTCAAACAATCAAAAGCCTTAGTCTGTTGTAAATCTGAACAGCAGATTTGGGCTCTGAATGTCTGTCAGATGTGACTGTGGGTGTGTGTTGTGTGTGTTGCGTTCACAAAGGAATTATGAAACCGCACTAATCAGAGAACAATGTGGCCAAAGACAATGCAGTGCATCTGTATAACGAATGAACAAGCACTTTTATTGTTATTTGGCGTCAGGGATGTTCATATCAAGACAAACCTCACTCAAACAGCTCATCCACAGTGTGTTTATGATAGTTCAAACACACAACACATATTTATAATCTGTAGACGTTCACAGATCAGCTTTCCATCCATTTAAACTCATTACAGTAACACTGAGAGGAGAGGAAATATTTGTCTTATACAGTGTAGATGTGATGTTGTGATTAGAAAGCATGCATATTCATTATTATCCTGTCCACACACACATATATACACTTACCGGCCACTTTATTAGGTACACCTGAGCATCTCTGAACGCACAACACATCCAACCTTGAGGTGGATGGGCTACAGCAGCAGAAGACCACACCGGGTGCCACTCCTGTCAGCTAAGAACAGGAAACTGAGGCTACAATTTGCACAGGCTCACCAAAACTGGACAATGGACTAATTTCCTGAACATGACAATGAAACTGTGTGATGCTATCATCCCAATATGGACCAAAATCTTTGAGGAATATTTCCAGTACCTTGTTAAATCTTTGACACGAAGGATTAAGGCAGCTCTGAAGGCAAAAGTGAGTCAAACCTGGTACTACTAAGGTGTACCTAATAAAGTGGCCAATAAGTGTATATCAGAGACTCCTGAATGGACTGGGAGGTTTAATATTTCCAGTTTTTTCATTCAAGCGAGATATTTGACCTATAATGTAGACTAAATCGCTGGAAAAGCATGACTTTTCAGAGGATTCGCAAACATATTCAAACATGTTTTCCTTTTTCTGTAAGCCTTAGAGCAGGGGTGTCAAACTCAATTCCTGGAGGGCCGAAGCCCTGCACAGTTTAGTTCCAACCCTGCTCCAACACACTTACCTGTAGGTTTCAAACAAGCCTGAAGGACTCAATTAGTTTGATCAGGTGTGTTTAATTAGGGTTGGAAGTAAACTGTGCAGAGCTGCGGCCCTTTTGGAATCGAGTTTGACACCTGTTCCTTAGAGTGTCAAATCTCATTTTAAGCCAATGAACTCCAGTGAGAACTACATTACAGGCTCGAGAGGGGTCTGGATGCAGACATGGTGTAGTTGCAATCTGAGCTAATGCTTTTTAATGCACTCACCTAACCCCACCCCTAACCCTACCCCTCACAGTGAGGTCACTAGCTCCATTGAGTACATTGTGTCTGACATTGAGATATGCAGTCTCAGCTTGCATCATCAAGGCTTCATCCAGACACTATTGACAGGCTCTGCTTTATAAATAATCGTCTGTTTTACACATTTGAACTTTCTACACTCTAAAACTGCTGGTTTTAACAAACTTTTGGGCCGAATATGGACAGTAAAAATGTTAAAAGGTTAAATCTCAATGGCTGGGATTGTTCATATTTGACCCAATAATGGTAAAAAATCAACAACTCTGGAGTCTACACGGTAGTTTTGTCTACACTGTTGTTGTATTTCTCCCTAAAGGTTCAGTTTTGAGGTTTTGTTGTAGTTGTTGTTCACTTAAAAAATATACATCCAAACTATTCATGTAAAATGAGCCGAAACAGCACTATTCTTGAGGCTTTTTTTGGGACAACTTAATCGTTTCATGTTTTGTTTCTGTTCTGAACATTAAAATGAGATCTGTCTATTTTATTAAATTTTGTTTTTGTTTTATTATTTTTAATTATATTTAACGCACAACAAATTTAAATTAGTAATTAAATTAAATTAGTATTTTTTTAATTAAATAAGTAAATTTTTTTTTACTAATTTAAGTTCATTTAAGTTCATTCATGCATTCATTTTCCTTCTGCTTAGTCTTTATTTCAGAGGTTGCCACAGTGGAATGAACTGCCAACTAGCAGTATTATTCATTCATTCATTTTCTTGTCGGCTTAGTCCCTTTATTAATCCAGGGTCGCCACAGCGGAATGAACCGCCAACTTATCCAGCAAGTTTTTATGCAGCAGATGCCCTTCCAGCCGCAACCCATCTCTGGGAAACATCCACACACACATTCACACACACACTCCAGACAATTTAGCCTACCCAATTCACCTGTACCGCATGTCTTTGGACTGTGGGGGAAACCGGAGCACCCGGAGGAAACCCACACGAAGGGAGGGAGAACATGCAAACTCCACACAGAAACGCCAACTGAGCCGAGGTTCGAACCAGCGACCTTCTTGCTGTGAGGCGACAGCACTACCTACTGCGCCACTGCCTCGCCAGCAGTATTATAATATTATAATTATAATTCCAGCATATGTTTAATGCAGCGGATGCCTTTCCAGCCACAACCCAGTACTGGGAAACATCCATACACACTCATTCACACACAAACTCATCCACTACTGCCAATTTAGTTTATTCAGACTACCTATAGCTTATGTGTTTTGACTGTGGGGGAACTAGGAGCACCCAGAGGAAACCCACGACAACACGGGGAGAACATCCAAACTCCACACAGAAATGCCAACTGACTCAAACCAGCGACCTTCTTGCTGTGAGGTGACCGTGACTGACGCAAAATAAAATAAAATATAATACACAGATTCTGATTTTAAGTTGTTTTAGCGCTGCTCCAGATGGGAAACTGCACTGAGAGGGTTATTAAGCAACATCAACAATGTCCAGAACAGAAACAAAACATAAAACAACACAATTGTGCAACAAATCACCCATGAGGAAACTATTAAACAACTCTGACGAAGTAAACCATTGAATGTGTGTGTGTGTGTGGAGTATTGGGTTGCAGCTGGAAGGGCATCCGCAGTGTAAAACATATGCTGGACTAGTTGGTGGTTCATTCCACTGTGGTGACCCCTGAAACAAGACTAAGACTAATCCTGAGACTCGTGATATCACCGTGTCCACATTTCCCATGGTTTGGCATTATACAAATATGAAGTGTATGAAGAATGATCCTGCCAATACTGCCGTCTGTTGGTCCATGATGAAAC